GATAGGTAATTTTCCAACATATGCAGGAGTACTACTTAATGGTAAGGTTGACCGGGTACCCATCCTTTGTAATAGCTGGAAATTATAACTGACTAAGCAATCTATGCATTCACATGTTTTCACTAAACCTGCTGTGGTATTAGAGAATGTGAAATGTGAAATTTTAGAAATACCAAAAGTAAGTTTTTTGTCCTTGGGTACTCCTTTTTTATAGGAATCCACAGATAGCACAAGTTTCTTATAATGGTTTAGCCACCATTTTTTTACATTGTTGGTGTGTAAATCCGATCATTTTTTTGAATGTCGTTTTGCTGTTCCAAACATTCTATCGTTTGGCAAGAATGAGTGACCTCTTTTTGGTATGTAATATTGTATCTCATTTATATTGCTATCTAGTTCAGCTACCAGTGATAAAAGTATTTGGACCGTGGCATGATTTCTGTTTTGGCCTACACAACCATCAGAAAATAGGTGCAGCTCTTTGGCTTTGTTGCCAATATTTTTAAAAATATAAATCAGCACAAAGGAACATACTTCGCTCACGTACTTTTGTTAATGTATCTCCAGGTAATGCATTGCATCGTGATCACAGAGATTTACCTCTGTAATCTATAGGCTGCTCTTTTTTTTTTAATATAATGCATAAATGTCTAACTTGTTTCATAGAAATTCCATGCATACAGCAAAAAGATTTCTTGCGTACTTTTCTTATCACACCTTCAATCTTAATGTGATAAATAAAAGAAAATTCTTTTTTCTTAGGTTCTTTAGATCTAAACCATCTTCCCTCTTTTCAATCAATGACTGCAAGTATGTGTCTTGAGCATTTTTACAATCAAATTCGTTAACAGACTGAATTGTACTTTCTATAAAATCTTTAGATACAAGCTCCATACACTTTGAATTACATCTGTTAATAAATAGAATTATTGAGGTAATATTGTAATAATTATATATCAAGATGTTTTACCTCCAATTATTGGTGGTAAAACATGAGTAAATAAGCATAAATTTGGGAACAAATATAGTCATACTCTAAAGAACAAAAAACTAACCTGCAAGAAGCACCCGTTTGACTTGGTGTCACAGCAATTTTGGCTTTTTTTATTTTTTTGTGTTTATAATTTCCACTGTTTCTTATACCAGACACTCTTTTTCTAGATCTATATGCATTTTCAGCAAGTTCGCGATTTTCCATTTTTGTTACAAAAAAAGTGAAATTACGCCACTACAGTTGCGCTTTGTTTTACTTGAAAAAGGCATAAGTCTGGGACTTGTGCCATTTTCAAACAGACTTTAATTTTCATTTGCATTTAAAGTTGATTTGTGGCATATGAAAATGTTTCTCCTTCAAAGGGAATATGTAAAACACTTGAATAAATAAAATTGCATTAAAAAGTGAAATTTAAAAAGTTTTCGAAATGACGGGTTCACTTGTTTATTGTTTATTTTCTTAAAGTACACAATTAAATTGGCTTTTCCCAATTTAAAAAAAAAACCTTTGCATTAACTGGCTTACGATAAAATAAAAATTGTAATTAAACGAAGATTACCGCTTTTCGGCTTTTTTTTCATTAAAATATTTTATTTTTATGTACAGTTTCACTGTACATAAAAATAAAATATTATAATGTATTTTTACTATTTCTTACTGAATCCAAAAAGAAAAATAGTTTTTTGGTTTTAAGATGTTATTACCAGAACTTGTTTTTAACAAATATCATTATAATTTTGAAATTTTATAAATCTTATATGTATAGCAAAAGTAATTTTTTTTTTTAATAAAATAAATATAAGTTAGGCTTTTAAAGAATTTATTAATTGATCGCGTTATTTTTAATTGGTTCAAAGCTCGGTTCGTTTTATAAAAAAATTCTTTTACACCAAATTTAACGGCAAAGGGAAAACACAAACATAACGAGTTTGAAAAAACTTTTTTGTATTGATGTCATTAATAAATTTATAAAAGCGCATTATTCAGACCAGTATTTGGAACTGGAACTATTTGAAACTTAACTGAAATTAAAATGAAGTTATATGTAATGCGAACATTTATAGTAACTTGAATTAAATTTATTAAATTTTTTTTTACTTTGACATAATTTTGGAAATTTTATCAGTGAAAAAAATTGTAAAACAGAGCGTTTTGAAATTTTTAAAAGAATTTTCATTACATTTAGTCAAATAAATTACTAAAACTATGAATAATAATAAAATTAATTTAAATTTAATAAATTAAATTAAAGATATTTAAAAAAAAAATGAAAATAGAAAAAGGATATCTATCTGTTTTTTTATCTAATTAAAAGTACCAATAATGCACGTTCTACGCGAAATTTCATCTTTAAAAGTGCAACCAGCAACTGGTAGATGCTATGAACTACCAGATCAAGAAAAAGCTGAAATAATACATTTGTACAATAGTATATTTAATAACAAAATTATATAATAACAGAGCAAAATTGTTATAAGTTTGATCAATCAAAAAAATGTATTGAAGCATATTTGAATGATTCCATCTTTATGTTGATTTTTTATTAAATAATGTTTATTAATACATAATACGTATTATATAACTACATAATAAACTTATGTATTGCAATGACAAATCAAATTACTCTTATCACTTGATATAATTTGTAATCTAAATTTAAACATGACAATAATAAAATATAAGGGGAAGGGTGGAGTAGCAAATGCTTTGGGGAAAATGATACTAAATTATATAGTTATAAATAATACTATTATTAATAATACTATAATTATAATAATACTAAATCATATAATTAATAAAAGTCAGAATATAAAACTGTAAGATAATAACTGATATAGAAACAAATATATGTTGTGCAGATAATTAGAATGAAATGTTAAGTCTTTATTTTCATTTTTTATCTAATAAGCATTTACAAATAAATATCACAGCTACTATTTGAGTGTGTTCAATACTTTGTGCATAAAGATACTGTGCATCAGATATAATATCAGACACACTGTATAAGCTAAAATGTCTAATAAACAGTAGATAAAATGTTATTTAGAAATAAGTTCTTCTTAAGATAAGGATGTTCGTGGCAAAAATATGTTAAAAAATAAAAAAGACAGGGGGGGGCAACTAAGGTTATTTAAAACCTGAGTTTAATTCAGTCCTAATTTAAAGCTTATTTGTAGCAATGATTTTGATATACTTTTATATGTATATATTTTTTAGCATTGCAGTAAATAATGAATACTTAAGTACATCAATATCTTTATTTTTTACGTTTTTAATGCATTTTGTGCCAACTTCATTGTTCCGAGTTTTTATTACCTCATGAGTAACCACTATTTTTTTTTCTGAAATCACTTTAATAAAGTCTATTAAATCAGTAGTAAAAAAGTTTATCATGAAAATCAGTGTTGATCATAGGTTACCAGTGGATTTAAGGGAAGGCACAATTTTGTATGTTCTAGCCGGAGCCATTTTTAGGGGTCCATAATTTCTTACTGAATTGTATCTTATCAGCAAATTTCTAAAAATTAGCAAGCCTACCATATATAGAAACTAAAAAGAAATGTCTTTTTACTTCTTAAATTGCTAGTTTTGTATATCGACCCATCAAAAATCAACTTTCTATATCTGCAAACAACTTTTTCGGTTTTTTAGGCAGCCATTATGGATAAAATGTGACATTAAAAAATCTAATGTCAAAGTTTTAACAAAGTAAGTCTAGCATTGTATATGATAAAAAAAACTAGAAGGTTCTCTGAAATTTTGTTTTTAAAATACAGAGTTTCAAAGTATGAACAAAACATGTTTTTGCTACTGAAGTTTTTAGTTTTGGAAAAATCAGAAATTTCAAATGGCCATATCTCATGAACCACATTATATTTGAAGCTGAAATTTTCAGGAATTGCTTTTCTCATTGATATAAACCAACCCACCAAGTTTCATCAAAATCTGAGGGGGTCCATGTTGGACCCTGGTTCACTTGGCATGGAATGACCCACTGATCTGTTTTTCGTTTTTTGTTCCAAATATCTTTCTTAAACTTGCCTTATAACTTGATAAATAATGCACCTGTTGTTTCATTTCCTGACCAAATTCCAAACCAAATTGCATGTTATTGATAATAACATGTAATTTAGCTATTTTTATAACACCTTATAGTATGTTGACAATTATTTTTCTATATTACTATAATCTAATCTTTTCTTGAAAAGAACTACATTCTGGTGCAACTTGGTTTTCTTTATGAATCTTTACCATCCATTTTTTGTATAACTCTATTGCAAAGATCTGACACCTACTCAACACCCACATCTTCTAATACTTTCAGCATCCCTGCTAATACACTAAAAGGATCAGGAGCTTTGCCTAAATAAACATTCCTCACAGCTAATTTTAGAAACTTTAATAATTTTTCATATTAAAAAAAAACTGCTGATTCATAATCTTTAATCATCATTAACTTTTTGTGAAGTTGCTAATTCTGACCAAGAAAAGTTGCACATTTCAAAAATTTTCTTAATTTAATAAAAAAAATTTAATTCAATTATTATAAAATATTTTTTTCTTCATTCAAAAAAATATTCTTTTAAAGCAGACTTTTATTTCCTTAATTTCAATCAACTGATTGATTAAAACTAACTAAGTGATTAAAACTCAGACGTACTGCTCTATACTCATTAGATTGTGCTTAACAAAACAAAGAGAAAAAAAAAAGATTTAAAAAATATAAAATACATATTTTGTTAAAAAAATAAAGAAAAGGTTTCTATACAATTACATCTGGAATTAGGGATTTATCTGTTGTTAATGGACCATGAAACATTCTAAAATATTTTTTAAAAGCTAACTTCTTAAATTTATTCAATATTATCATAAAGAACACACATAGATGTGACAAGATATTTTTTTAAATCTAGTTTTAACTAACATTATCATATATTTATAAACCAAATAATTATTTTGCATTATTTAAAAAACTAATAAAAATATCAATATAATAAACAAAAACCTTTTCCACCATGTATCTATAAAGATTAGGATGAAAAATTGCTGCTAAAATACCAAGACATATTAGCAATCCACTAATCACAATAAAAATACGAAGCATCAAGTTGTAAGTGCAACATTTCTTTTCCGTTGTCATTTTTATTCATACAAGTTTTAGTATTTTTAATCTAAACTATCCATCACATATACAAATTCATTTGATTGAAATATTATAATGACAAAAAAGAATATTAAATTATTATGATATTAAAATATTATAATGACTAAAAAAAATATTAAAATCCTATAATGATTAAAAATAATATTGATAATATTGAAATATTATCTGGAAAAATCATGAACTATTTACATTAAATCATCCTAATAAATAACACAAACCATCATGAAACAGTTAACAGTTAACAGTTAACAAATGAAGATGATGATCACCATTATTATTTTATTTACTTTGTTAGTGATGATGATGATGATGATGATGATGATGATGATGATGATGATGATGATGATGATGATGATGATGATGATGATGATGATGATGATGATGATGATGATGATGATGATGATTATAAATGTTTTATAGTTTATTCTATAAATTCTCGTTCCAGGACTGATTGGTTACTACAAACATACAAATAAATTTTCTATGCAGTAAAAGTCAAAATTATAACCAATATTTAATAAACACAAAATAAAAATTTTTCATTGAATATATTTTTACAGAATCTCTAAACATGCAGTTTCAAAGAAAACCTGCTCCTTTTTTTTTCAAAGAAAACATGCTCCTTTTATTGTTGTAGTTTTAAAAAAAAACATGCTCCTTTTAGATATCAAACAATATCTTTTTAAATTTATTTCAAAATATTTTTTTTTAATCTCTAAAAAAACAATTATTGGTAAGAATCCTGAGGAAATAATTCTATCCCTTTGAGGTCATTTTACATTAGTTTTTATTTATATTGAAATATATATTTTATAAATACTACATTTAATTATATAACTTACATGTATTTTATAAATACTATATTAAATAATATAACATTTATATTAAGGTACATAGAAATTGAACTATATAACAATTTAAAATATAAAATAAAGCCTTCCCAGGTAGAACTGCATATTCAACTTTCACACACGCATTACATAACCTGATTTGAAAACTTTTTTAAACAGATGTTAACTTGAAACATCTGAAGTGGTGGGTACAAATAAAGTTAAAGGTAAAGAGTACAAACAAAGTTAAAGGTAGGACTAAATGAAAAAAAATGATAAAAGACCTTATAAATTTTAGCATATAAAATAGGAGAAGTAGATAATCTAAAAAACAAAATAACATTAAATATAAGTTAAAGAAATTTTTGATAAAAATATAATGATAATTACTCTTATTTCAAATAAACTATAAAAATATTAATTTCTTCTATATTTCAAACATTTTAAGTAGCAGTTTTTAGTTACAATTACAAATTTTTCAAATTTAGCTTTTTTAAATATAAACATAATTTCCCATTTTCCCATCTTCAATTGTAGTTAAAGTGATCTAAGGTATGAATGAAGATCAAAGTAAAATTTTTTTATAAAAATGGAGTAGTAACTTTTAACGTTTGCGACGACTTGATTTGATGTTTTCCAATTAAAATGATTTTTTTTTAAAACTAAAAAAAAAAAAATCTTTTATACTCTGACTAATAAATCATATTAGTTAAACAAATAAGTAAAAACAATAGTTAAAAGTACCTGATTTTACTAGCATTGCATGTAACACATTATGTTTAGCACATTTGTTGTCATATATTGAACAATTGATTTGAAATAAGCAATAGTTAAAGCAGAAAAGTTGATGTATTGTTGATGTATTTATGCTATGTGTTGTCATAGAAGCAAATCTATTTTGTTACTATTATATAAAAAAAATTCTTATAAAAATTAAAAATATATTTAGAAATAATTTTCTAAGAAAAAAAAAAAAGCTTGTAAGTATTCAGAAAAATTTTTAATCCCGAAAACTTAAACTTTAAAAACTCAATACAAAAATATACTAATATAGAAAAGCTCTACAAAATTTTTGTTGAGATTTCCAAAACACAAAACTAAAAAAAAGTTAATTAAAATTTTTATTTAATTTAATATTTGACTGTTAAAATATTTTTTCAATCTACTCCAAAGAGCTACCACAATTTTTTAATGACTCCTAAATTTTCTAAATATCAGTAAACTACATATGATTTTCATAAAAGACCAACTTAAGAGTTTCTCATTTAAGAATAACAGAAAAGGAGATGACAGCTGAGCAAAAAAAGTTAAGTTATAAATTATAGACCAAAGGCCACAGTTTAACCAAAAAGTTTTATATCAATATTTTCCATGTTCCGATTAAAACTCCAGGGTGCACTCTGAGTCTAAATCGTGAAAAAGTGGCCAAAGCTTTTTTCAGAATTTTTTCAAATAGAAATTAAATTTAAAGCAATCTTTTTATACTAACCTTATTTTATACTAACCTTATTTAAACTCAAAATAAATTTCTTTTCTTTAAAGGAAGTTAAAATCTATGTTGTTGAAAAATATTTAGTGTAAAGCATACAAGAGTTTGTTTTCAAAATTGTAAAAGTATTTTTTTGTTGTTGTTCATTAAACATGAAAAGATTACAACTTATAAATATAATTAAAGAAGTATTAATCATTAAAATAATTATTAATCAAAAAAATTTAAAAAGTTAACATGTATATTGTATGTGTCAGTTGTATATGTCATTAATCATATGAACTTGCAAGCTATTTCTAATCACCAATAAAGAATTGTCTGATGTAGTACTCTCAGAAAAAATTAGACTTTTTTTTTTGAAATAAAATTGAGTCTGAACTGAGTATAAAAAAATTGAGAATAAATTTTCATCTGAGTAAAGTATCACAATTTAGCAATCTAGTAAAATGTCAATTTAGCAAATTTAATTAAACAAGAAGGTTCTTGGTAGGGTAATTCTTGTTTAATTAGTCTTGCCCAGAGTGTAAATTGTTTCAGAATAAAAATACTAAATCTGATTTAGCTTTAAAAGCAGGAATACCGGAAAAAAAAGGAACAGAGTATTCAAAAACAAAAAGGAGGAAAATTTCAAGGTAGTTTTTAGAAGTAATTGTTGTTTATTTTTAAAGTGATTTAAAAAACAAGTGACCTGTGATTTAAAAAACAAGTTTTAATAAAAAATATATGTAATAAAATGTATATGTAAGGCAAGTAAAGCCTGTATAAAAGCAGTGAATCTCTATTAGAAAATTCAATATAAGATCCTCTCTTAATAGTGGCTAAAGGTAGGAGGAGAGCTTAAGCCTTCTATGGTAATCTTCCTAGTGATAGCTTTATGGTAAAAATAGTCAGTCTTGTTATTTATTAGTTTTATGTTGGAAGGGGATTGATTTGTATAAGTTTTCTTCGCATTTTGCATAGCACCATTTTAATTAAGAAATGACACTAATAAAAACTGAACTGAAGTGACACAAGCGTCAAACTATGGACAAATAATTTCAATACAAAAAAAAACATCTGTTGAACAACCTTAATGAGAATTTGCATTATCATAATGGTAAAACTTTATCCAATAATGATTATGTTATTTTAGATTAGTTAAAACCCATTCAATTGAAGAGACTAAGCACTAAGCTGCTGTTGCACGAGCGAAATCTTGGAAAATCAGATTTAAGTATTAAAAGCTTGTGTAACTTATTTTTTAAAGATTAAACAAGTTAATCAAACAAGTGATAAACATCAGTCAATTATGATTTCTGCAGATCAAGCTTTGTCGCTTAAAATTAAAAATCTAAATTGAGAAATTATCTCAATTTTATCTGAAAAGAACTCATAATTTTTTTTTTTTTTTTTTTTTTTGTTATTTAGGTGCCCCAAGAAGACCTAATGGTCTTGTCACAGAGCACCGCGAAAGAAAAAACATAAAAGTCACGGAACACTTTGCTTATTATAAAGATTTTAGATCTAGATCTATTTAGCAATAACATGGCCTATTTTGGGAAAAAAATTTGCAGGCGGTAGCCCCTGGCCCAGAGAAATTTAGCGGAAAATCTGCGTTTTTTAGTGGGAGAAAAAAATTGCTATAAAAAATGTAATAAAAAAAATGAAATAAAATAAAATAAATAAGAAAGCCTCAAATTTTAATTTAGGCAAAGCCCAAATATGGTCGACGCTGTCAAAAACAGTCTAGAATAGCCCCTGAATGAAAAGCACTATTCGGAAAAAAATTAAAATTGTTATTGCCTTAATTATGCTTGATGGAAAGTCAATAAATATGCAAAAGCATAGCTATGGTTATTCAAACACAGGTAACACAGCCAGAAGAGCATTTGAGAATGCAGATACTTTTGCAAATATTATAAGAGCTGATATTAAAATAATTGTTAGACTGAAGAATATAATGAAAGCTGTGTGCAGTAGGTGCCACCTTGATTTGGAGGCAAAAAATATTGTTTAGCTACTTTTAAAATAATAATTAAAAATAATGCTACTAACTGTACACAAGTTATTAGAACATGGTTATCAGATTTCATGGTTATCAAATTTCATGGTTATCAGATTTTTGATTGCTTTGAACTCCCAATAGGTATATATTCAGAAGAGACTCAAATAGCAAAAAAAAAAAAATACATACAAATTGTCCAAACCTTACATGTAAAATACTGACTGAACCATACATGTAAAATTTCGAGAACAAATGTAATGAAAAACCAATATCATTATCTGCTGTTACAAAGTGACCCCATCATTCAGCTTCAAAATAACTAAATTGATTGATGCTAACTTAAAATTGTTAACTTAAATTCTGAAATTTTAAAACTTTTGCTTGAAGAATGATCTTTTAATGTTTTTTTTAGCTATGTTAGTAATTTTAATATCTTGTATCTTCAGAAATAATTGACATGAAACAAAATGAAGCAAATTTAAGTCGCTAGAAAAATATTTGTTTTGTACTTGGTATAATTACCCATTAAACTCACATGATAAAAAGTTAAAAGGAACAAAAAGCAGACAAAGTTTTTTCAGTTTTTGTGACCATGAAAATACACATTTAAAAAGTTTTAATCTCTTCTTTAAAAACGCAAAAAATGCTAAAGAAAGCTAAAAAATCAAGCTATAAAACTCATAAAAAAAATTTTTCAAAACATGTTTTCCAATAATTGGGTAAATATACTTTCTAAATTATAAAAAAATTAATTACAATACTTTTTTAAATCAACTTTTTGACACCTTTTAGCGATTTGGACTCATAGTTGGGTTGTGGCTCAAAAATAGTGGTGCCACATGGCCTTAAAAATTTGATTGGTCCCTAAATTAAAAAAAAAAGTTTTTCAAGAGTAAGTCTTTTTGAATGTTATATATAGGTTTCCAATAAGCTAAGTTATAAAAGAAATTTCACAAACAATACCCATTTTATAAAAAAAATATTATTTTAAATGTTATGCAGAAAAACTATGGTTTCTGCAAAAAAGGTTTTTTGAGTAACACCCTATAAAACACTTATACTACATTTATTTTTCCTTAAGATAAACTGCCTTCATAAAAACAACTTTTTGTTAATTTTTTGAAGAACTAAGTAAAGGTAATTATAGGTTAAACTATTTCAAAAACCAATAAGATTATTTAAACTGATTTTTAATTTAATTTGCTTTAAAGTTAAGCCAAACAGATTTATTTGATATAATTATAATTTAAATTTTAAATTTATAAAACTAAATTTTAAAACTATAATTTAAAAAATTATAGTTTAAATTTTTTATTTATGTAAAAAAAATTTATAAATATAATTTTTAAATTTTTTTACATAAATGTTGTTCAGAAACTGTTTTCTTTTTCACTTACATAAATGTTGTTCAGAAACTGTTTTCTTTTTCACTAAACAGACTTGACTCTCTTTTGCACTAAACAAACTTATTTGTTTACTTATAACTCTAAATCTTATTTATTTTTATTTGGACAAATTTAGTTTTACTTTAGTCTGGGTATTTATTGCTCTGAAGTCTTTTTTTCTCCTATTAAAATAATATTAATATCTAATAATTAATTTCTATAAATAAAAGTATTTTTTAGGCAATATTTTTAAACAATATTTTGTGAGTTTTTTTACTGCTTTGAAATTTTTTTTACTTGCCATGATAAAAAAAGAGATATTTGCATGCATTTCAGCACATGAAAGCGCAATTTTGTGGCAACTCTGGTTAAATTTATAGCAAAAATTTTTGTTTTTTTCGCATAAGTAACTTTTCTTTTACTATTAATAACACTACTTTATTTTACATTTCAATGACCTATTTTTGTTGAAAAAATAATATTAATAATAATAATAATAAACAAAGAAATACTTCCCTAAAAACAACTTTGAATATCAGATGCTTTGACTATTACACATCATAGTTTTGATACACAACTTGATTTCTTCAAATTATTATTATTACATTTTATAGAAATTACACCATTAATGAACAACATCATCGTATAAATAATTTATACAATTAACTCGTTTATATTCACTCGTTAAAGAAGTCATTGTAACTCTCTCACTTTAAATAACACTTGATACGCTCGAAAATCTTCCTGGAATGTTGATATCGCTCAATACTACATTCTGGTCGATCTCATTCTCTATTGATAAAAACAAATTTTAACTAAAAACTTAATTTTATCAAATAAATTCAATTTTACATAATGCCATTTTTGACGCCTATAGAATTTGCTGAAAAATATCTGGATGTACAACATATTGCATCTTCATAATCAAACCCTGTTATTGTAGAATTAACAGTTGAAATTTTAAAATTTTTGATAAAATTTAAAAAAATATATATATATATAAAGTTTTTTAAAAAAACATACACACCCAGTTTTTAAATAAACTAACATCACTATTCAAATCTAAAGATGGAGGAGTGTTGGAAATTCGTAAAACATTATGCTGAAGAAAAACGATGAACTTGAGTAGAAGTTTATTATGGTAAAATTAAAAATATTATGGTAAAATTAAAACACTGTGATTTTATAACAGCGCTTCAAATAACAGTAGTCAAATATTGAGCCCTGCTATTTTGTTCAACGGTCAAACTAATTTTTTAATCTCTTGTTCAATTTGGAAACAATAATGAACTTTTGATAACAACTCTTTTATAAAATCAAAAATCAGAAGGAAAAAAAAAATGTTAACCTTATAATAACATTAAATACTATTATTTATTAAAATTTTGAAAAACTATGCTATATATAGAAATTATTTTTTTATAGAGCACAAAGCTTTTTAAAGAAAAATTTTAAAAGTTCAAACTTTTTTTAATTTTAATAAATGTAATTTAACAAATATAACATTTGAACTTTGAAACTTGTTTAAAGTAAAAAAATTATTTTTCTTTATAAAGTACTCATTTATGTAAATTAAACACGAAACTGTTATAAAACAAATAAGCAAAAACTTTTAAGATTACCTTATTTTTCACTTTCAGGTGCCCAGAAATTTCGTGAAGTTGCTTGTTGAAGAGCTGCATCAGGGATAAAAGTAACAGCTTCTTTAGGTTCAACAGTTCGAGATTTTCCATAACCATAATTTTCATTAGATAAAAAGCCATTTGTTAAGGCGGATGAATAACCTCTGGTATTGTTGTACATAAGTCGGCGCATGTCTTCAAAGTCAAATGTTTGTCTAGAACTGCGTCCACTACTTTCTCTGCGACCAAAATCTCTTCTTGTTTCACCTTTTGGTTCAGCAATGGTGACATTCATCCTGCTACCCTTTTAATATAAATTTAAATTTACTTCATAAATTAAGCAAACTTAATATATTTTAAAAGCATTTTTTAAGTTATATAATAAACAATTTAATTTATAGTAAAATATAATTTTTAATTCCTAATTTATTATTGTCTGAAATTTTGTTCTGTAGAACAATTTAAAATATTTAGTTTTTTTTTAAATTAAGAATATACCTAAACATACTATCTATAGGGTAACTAACAGGTGGCAACTGAAAAATGGGTCTGGATTTAAGGTAAAACTAAAAAGTAAAATGTTTTTCAATGTATTTTCATTGTATTTTCTTTCTAGTTTATAGGCCAACACTCCACTAAAACAGTTTAAAATTTACGGCTCTTGAAAAAGTATAATTTTTTCTCAAAAGTATAATTAGTATTGCAGTGCATGTAATAAATAAAATTGCCCAGCGCAATATTTTGAGCTCGTAATACATTATCAATTGAGTGCAATTATGCGGGCTCGGCATTAAGTCTTCGAGAGCGATATTCAGAGTTGTGAATTGATTATGTTTTTGAAGGGGTCACTCAAAAACATACCAGTTCGAACAAGAAAAAGGGTGGACGATTTTTTATTTGAATTTTTTCATGTGAAGTCCAGGAAATCAGACAAAAAAGCTTTGGTTTTTTAGTTAATGCATTTGTCTTTCTACTAGAAAAAATATGTTACTGCAGCTTTGGTATTAAATAAAAACAATGAAACATCACCATTTACTAAAAGATGACTACATAACTTTATTTCCTTTTTGGAGTTTAATTAACATGCTTGATTGCGGACATTTTAAACAACAGAAGCGTTTTTAATTTAATTTAAGATAAATTTAATTTAATTTAATTTAAAATAAAAAGATTAAGAATATTTCTTTTAATTACAAAAGATGAGTAAAAAATTAAAAATAATAAAGCAAAAGAATCTTATGTTTTACAATATCTTGTGGATTAAAACTTTTGATTTTTCGAAATTCAATCAAACTATAATTTTTTAATTCAAACTTTCAATTATCCTTACGACAAAACATTTTGAAAATATTAAACATTCCATTCTATCTGTTAACAGTAATGACTTCATTCATTGTTTGTGCAAAATAGAAAATTGCTTTCTAATTTAAACTAAATGCGCTATTTAAATATTATCAAGTGAATAATATTTTATATATTTGTTTATATACTTAATAAATATATAATAGACATATTAATATAATATATATTATTGTAATTATATATATACTTATACAAATATTATATATAAATAACTTATATACTGACAAATATTTTGAGAAATACGTTAAACTAGTGAAACTAGTGATATAACATTTTTTTCTTTTGTTATTTGTGAGCACGCTTCCAAAAGTTGCAATTCAAAGTTATATAAAGAATATATTTGCTATACGCTTTGTTTACTGAAACTATTTTTTTTATTTTTTTAAGTTGCGTTTAGCTTGAACTTCAAGTGTTAATAAACAGACTTTAATATAAGCTTAACTGATTCGAAGTTACAAATGTAAATATTTAGTTTTATATTAACTTATATTTGACAAAATATTTCATTTTCTAAAAATTTGATGTTTTTGAATTTTAAATGCAATAGTCATTAATTAATAGAATGTGACCTGTACGAAATCGAACCTTTAAGTGAAGTTTTAGTTTGATAAACTTTTTACGCTAGATATTTATTTATAAGATATTTATAAACATTACACAAGATATTTATAAATATTACGTTAGGTATTTAATTTTTTTAAATTTAAGTTTGGAATTTTCATTGAAGTGTTGCAGGTTTTGATATTTATTACACGGACTTAAAATTAAAAGTAAAAGTTCTAGTTAAGCGAAGTTTTTTGTCAAATGGACCCTAAGAAAATAAACGAGTTAGCAAATGGTTGGAACAGGGTACGATTAAGCGGATAGTATAAGTTAAACTAGAATTTTAAAAAAAAACATGCTGGATATAGCTTTCAAATAAAAAAAAATAAATCATTTTTAATTGGAACTTACACCACAAATTAAAATTGAAGTAAGTCACACATAAATTATGCCTGACATACTATATTACGAATATAATTTCTTTATTTAACAATATGCAAACTCTACTGTTTAAACATATTTTGACTTCAGCAAAAAAATTTTATTTAAAACATATTCTATAAAATCAACTTATAATTTTCTCCCTCCCAAGTTATATATATATATAAAACTTGGATATAATATAACAACATATATATACATATATATATATATATATATATATATATATATATATATATATATATATATATATACACATATATATTTATATATATATATATATATATATATATATATATATATATATATATATATATATATATATATATATATATATATATATATATATATAATCAGTTATTCATAATTAAACCATTCTTTTTGACTTACCCACTTATACATAGGTCATGTATGAATATCAACTGTAAAAAAGCAACACTTGATACTTAAACAAAGTTTTATAAAATTTTTTAGTGAACTTTTTTCTTGTTTAGATACCCAATGAATGTTTTTGTATTGTGAGATTATGCTAAACAATTTATATAGATTTCTAAATGTAAAGCTAATTAACTAAACACAAAACAGAGCTAAGAAATTCTCAGCAATATTTTTGTCCTATTTTAGGAAATATCCTATTGATAGAACTTTTAGGTTCTCAAGTGGTCATGAATGAACTTTTTATCAAAATGTATTTTAAATAAAATTTGTACTCTGTTTCCTAACTTTTTTTTGTTTTGAAATTATTCTATCATCTATTTTTCTAAAAAAATAGGAACACATAAAATATTAAAAAAATAATAATAATAAACAAACTAGAACAAAAGTATATTTAAAAGTTTTTTCCTTTTTATTTCACATGACAATTCAAGGGACTTATCTTTAAATTATTTTATCAAACCCAGTCCAATTTGTTTAACTCAGTCCCTTTCAGTTGTCACTTGTTAGTACTAAATAACTTGTACTAGATACAAACTGCTTTTTTAATTGAGTTAATAATTTGGGTCCATCATTAACAACTTATACCAAAAATATTTAAAAAAGTTAATGGCTTATAAATCACACAGCACTACCCTTATTTATTAATGACATGAAAACATTTAAATATTTAAACAAATAATTTTTCTATTATGTGGACATTATTTGTATGCACATACAAATAATGCAGGTTCGGAAAAAAAACCCATCTTAAAAAAACCCAAAAAAAAATCCCAATTAATGATAATATACAAAGTTGCATTATCATGTAGCAAGCTTGTAGATTACATGTTGTAAACTTGTGCAAACTAGTTTTTGAAGTAACATGTTGAACATGTTAGTATAAAAAAAAGTTTGCAACATATTCTTACCAACTTTGAATAACTAAGTTGTCATAATAATTTTTAATGTAATTTTTCTTAGTCAAAAATATATTTTAAAATATTTGTGTTTCTGAGTTAAGGATTAAGAAAGAAATTTTAAAAAAATAAGTTGACTGTAGTTGACTCCTTTGACTGTAGTGAACAATGGAGCAATGAAGAGGTGAATATGTAAAACAAATAATAAAAATTTTGAATTTTGATCAAACCCAAAAGTTACCCATTTGGGTTGGGTTTTTTCCAACCCTGAAATAATGACTTAAATAATAATGACGAAACTCTTCGATTATCTTGTAAATAATTAAAAAAACAAAAAAAATGATAAAGTATTAATGATAAATTTATATTTATTATAAATTTATAATGCTAATAAAAATATTTTTGTTTTAGTATTATCATGTATTGATTTTGTTAAGTGAAAAAAAATAATATTTAATGATTATTTTCAAATTGACAACATTTGTCTCAACACCTCAGAGTCCTAGTCTCAGCACCAAGTTGGGAAACCTTTGCTAGAAAACCTTTGTTGGCAACAGCATGTGATTGAAAGGTATATCTGACCACACTTATAATAATTTGTTATGACAACCTGACTACAACTGTTGTTGACACAATGTTTTGAGAACATTTCAAATACATTATAGAAAAATTAACTTTAATCTTTTCTAATCAAATGTTTACAAACAATTTACTTTAATTGATTGTTTACAAAAAAAAATTTAGAATTATCTAAGTTTTGTTATATCTATTATATATAAATTTTAGAAGTAAATTATATAAAGCTTAGTAAATTATTTGAAGTTAAAACTATATATTGCATAAAATATATAACATATATCAATTTTTTTATGATGAATATAATTTGTTAATATATATTGTACTAATTATAATAATTTTCTCATACAATCCTTAATTTTCTCATAATACCTTAGTGGTGTAGTCTATAATTTTTTTAATTTTTAAGCTCTTTTTTATTATGGTTTTTCTTTTTTTAGTAAAGTTTTTTTTAGTAATTGTCTCTCCATTGTTAAGTTTTTTTTGCATATTTTTGAAAGGTTCTCAAAAAATCTATAAAAACAGGGTCAAGTTGCTACAACAAAATATTTAAAATGTGGTCAGGAATAGTAAAATAATAACAATTATGCAGCTGTAATATCTATTAACATATTATTAAAACAAAAAAATACTTTTAAAGAATGCGATTTATGAAGAACAATTTGTGCATCATCTGCTTGAGCATAGGTAACAAAACCAAACCCACGAAATGGAGTTGGTAGGTAGACATCAGTAAGCTCACCATAATCACTGAAATACTTGCGTAAATCATCTTCACTTGTATCAGCTGGTAAACGTCCAATAAAAAGCTTTACACGCTTATTTTCCTGTTAAATAACAAAAAAATCAAATCAAAAAAACTCAAAAGATTCTAGGTATCTCGAAAATTTATAACTTTTTAAAAACTTATTTATTGAAATATAAGTATTTAATTTATTACTTTAAATATTCATTCATATATATCTTTTTAATAAACTTTAATAATTATTGTTTTTATTAGTATTATTACTAATTAATTTATTTATAAAAAATACATACACACCTTTTTTTTTGGAAGTCGTACTTCACACCTCCTACCAAGAATACTATGGTCAACTTTAAGCACCTTTTGAGCAGCGGCTTCATTCTTAAAGCGAATAAAAGCAAACCCTCGAGATTCTTTAGTTAAAGGATCAATTTTTATCTAAATCAAAATTTAAAACAAAATTCATTTTTAATAGCGATAACTATAAAAAATCATACGATACTAAAATACATAAAAAAGTTATTTTTATGTATTTTAGTATCTTTAGATTATATATGTAAAATTATTTTTAAAAATGCTAAAATATGTATACATAATTTTAATATTAAAGAGATTTTAAATATAACAATATATTTAATTCTTTAAATATTTTGTAAATTTGTTTTTACATTTTGAAACAATTTATTTCAGAACAAAAAAAATAAGAAATAATAATGAACAACTTTAAAATTTGCACAATTGGAAAATAATTATCTGTAAAAAGTGTAATTAAACTATTTTATATAAAACTTTAAAAAATTAAGATTTTAAAACTTAATAACAATTTAGTAATTATATATAAAAAAAAAAATTCATTAACTTTTTAACAAATGATACCTAACAGTGCTAATGACCTTTTTTAAATGTTGTTATTTAAAAAAAGGTTATAAATTGTAAAAGGTACAAAGGTATACATGGCTCAGATTAATGGAAAACAATCTAATTGCAAAAAAAAAAAAAAATTTAATGATCCCCCACTCTCACTTCATACCACGCAGCATTTGTGGTAATGAGGGGGGGGGGGGGTTGTGTTAGTATAAAAAAAATATATACACTGAAATAAATGTCCATGACATTCAACGCCAAGTGCAAAAATATCATAAATAGTCTTCCTCCTAAATATGGTGGTAATTTAAAAAATTGTGAAAATGTTTGTGCTAATTAAATTAAATTAAAAGGGGGGGGGGGTGTTAGTATAAAAAAAATATATACACTGAAATAAATGTCCATGACACTCAACGCCAAGTGCAAAAATATCATAAATAGTCTGCCTCCTAAATATAATGGTAATTTAAAAAATTGTGAAAATGTTTGTGCTAATTCTTGGATTTCAAAAAATCGTCGTATAGCTATAAGAATGCCTTCAATTTTAAGCCACTAACACCCACTCCTTGCAAAACAAAATCGACGAGATCAGGTTAAAACGTGGTGGTCTGGTAGTCTTTTTTTTTTTGTTCTATTTTCCATTTTTGTCGATTAGAAATAAGAGTTCCCAAAGCATCAAAAACAGATATCTTTGCAGTCAGATTTCCTGCACTAAATGCGTTTATTGTTGCCATATATCACCCGTATTGGGGAAATAAATCAATCCATCGGAAAACCATAAACCTTTTACAACATTTTATTGATCAAATCTAGGTAGATACGAACGCCTTATATTATGTGGCGACGTAAACAATCTCCGTAAGTACTACGATGATTTTCTTATTTTTAACTTGCTTAGTCAACTTGTAACATTCTCAACACATGGGGGTAACACACTCAACATCATCGCAACTAACATTCCGGAACTGTATAACCTTGCAAAGAAGCTCAGTCCACTGCGTCGCTCTGATCACTGTACTATCACGCTAGATTCAATTAAAGTATTGCCACCTAATTGTGGAAGATTTCTATAAGAAAATATGGTGCTGAGGCTCAGTCTATCTTCCGTGAAAACTTACTAAGAGTAAACTGGTTAACGTTCTTTCAAAGTGACAACGATGTTGACATCATGGTTTTGCGTTATAGCAAGTATTTATACAATTTGATTAACAAGTGTTTTACTATGTGTTCCGTAACAATGAAAAGCAACAATCCTTTATGGATAACTCCTTAAATTAAAATCTTAATGAGAGAAAAAGATCATGCTTTGCGAGAAAAACTAGCTTCGGCTATAGAAACCTCAAAACATCAGCTTGGCCGTATTAAATTTAACAAAGATTATAGTATCAAGAAAAAATGGAATGCTACCAACAATATTATTAAACCTCGTCAACAACCTAAGTATTTTACTCTATCGGAAGCCATCAAAATAAATGATTCCTTTGTGAAGGTGTTCGAGCCAGAGGATATAGATAACTTTATTATAAATAACAACAACTACGACCCTGCTACCTTCTATGAAACTAATGAATACCTTGTCCACCAAGAATTAATAAAAATTAAATCATCGGCTAATGGATCAGACGGTATCCCTGGAACTATCCTCAGAGATTATGCCAATATTTTGGCTACCCCCTTTAATGATCATTTTCAATCATAGCTTTTCTCAACTTAAGTTTCCATCTGCATAAAAAAAGCTCATGTGGTTCCAATTAAAAAGAAAAATGGCGAGTATCACCCGGTCTCATTACTTTGCAGCGTTGCTAAGATCTTAGAGAAGATTGCACTCAAACAGTGGTTAATACCTTCCCTTCAGAAAAAATTTAATCTGTTTCAATTTACTTTTGTTCTGGGCCCTTATAAAAGCACAACTAATGCTCTTACAATGATGATTCTTTGGACTTTAAACAAACTCATGTGGTTATGTTCGATGTATTTGTATCAATTTTAAAAAAGCATTCGATAAAATCTCTCATCTTGTTGTCCTTCGTACAGCTAAAAATGATTTCAATTTACCGGACTCTGTTACAACTTGGATTAAATCCTATTTTGGTCATCGATCTCAAAAAGTCATTGTTTGTGGCGTCTCTCCAGATTCCATCCCTTGGACCAATATAACAAGTAGAGTTCCTAAGGGGTCAGTTTCTTTTTGCTATGGTAGTTAACAGAATGTCGGTACTTGATAATTTAATAAGTCTATCAAACTTGTACGCCAACAACACCAAGCTATTACATTATGTTAAAAAACTCAATTGATCTATTTTTCCTTAGAGGGTGACAAAGGGTTGCCAATAACTGTCGCTGGCAGTAAGTTAGAAACTCAGTCCACAATTAAACTTCTTGGGGTGACTTTACAAATGACCTTAAATGGGACTCTCACTTCAAAATCGTTCATTAGAAATGTTGCGCTGGAATGTCGGCTATCCATCACCTGGTATCATATGGTATTCCTAATGATTTAACATGGAAGACATATCTTGCATTAGTTTTTTTGCATACGGGTTACGCTTGGCCTGCGTTCTATGATATCTCTCGCACTCAACTTATGAAACTGTCTACCATAGAAAAATGCGCTTCTGTTTTATGCAAGAAACGCCCATGCGCCATGCAAAACATCTTAAAAGCATTTGCCTCAGATTAATAAAAAAAGTTGCCACATTGTCTGATCATCCTCTTAGATCTTTAAGATTTCTAATAAAAGTTCTGACTTATTTCAGTCAGAACTTTTGTTAGAAATCTTAGGAACTCGCATAAGCTGCAAATTTTGCACCTAAAGTCGATACAGCTAAAGAAATCTTTTGCCAGTTTTTGTAAGAACTCATAAATACCTAGATATTGTATTTATTTATAAAGGAAATAATAATAATCTTTTGTATGTAATTGTTATTTTTTTTACATATTAACTCTCTTATTTAAATATTGCCTAATAATTTTCTCGTTTGGCAGAGTTTAAAACAGCGTAAGTTACTGTTATAATTTACAGCTAGAGTTATAGTTTAAAGTTTAAGTTGCAGTTAATGTAATGAGCAAGTAACATATTTAGTACTATTAAGATATTTCTTTTAGTAATTGTTTTTACTTAACATGATACTTAAAAAATTATAAGTAAAAAAGTAAGAGTAAAAAGCAAAAATTACAATATTTAAACCACTTTTTATATTTTTTCAATTTTTATTTCAATTTCAAATTTTAATCACAAAATTATTTGAATAAGAGAATTTTGAAAGACTAAAATTATTTTGTTCAAATAGATTTCTTTTTAAATAAAATTCCTATGAACAACTAGCAAATTTATAGAAAATGTTTAATCTTGATATTGCTTTAAATAAAATGAAAATGTAAAAAAATGGTATCACGTTTTTTATTTTTCCATTCAACAATTTTTTTTTAAATAATATTAAGTTAGAAGCTTATATTATGTGTTAACATAATATAAGTATAGGATATGTATAGGATATAAATAGAAACATTTGTATGACTAACTTTTGCGAGTCTTTGAGTATATTAAGTAAATTAATATAATTGATATGTTAATATTTGAGTAACTGTAAGTTACTGCAGTAATTTAACTGGTTGGTTTGATTTAGTTTATAAGTAAATTTACTGTGATGTACTTTATCCATTCAGTAAATTAAAGTAAATATAACTTTAAAAGGTTCAGGGTCATTAAAGGGAAAAACATTGAAGCAAAAAAGTTGCTGGGTTCTATTAGCAATGATTGAACTTTATAATAAAGCAATGAATAAAGCAAAATGAACATAACTGCTGATATTCAAATCAAAATCAAAATAATTTTCTTTCAAACATCTTCAATTTTCTTGAAAACAGCTTTATTTTAAATAAATTACATTTTTCTCCCATTCCTATGAATGAATTTTATAATATTTTCCATCATTTTCTAAATTATGAAAACACATTAGTAATATTAACCACTACCAATGTAGTAGTGGTATAATGATAGAGGGCACGCCTTGTTATAAGAAATTCCAAGTTCCAACCCATCACCTCCCAGGTTGTACCGCACTCAACTTGTTTCTCCAGCGATTTTTTTTTGTCAAAGCTTGTGTCTTAAAGTTAAAGAGTTGAGAGAGGATTATAATCACACCTTGAATATATATTATATATATATATATATATATATATATATATATATATATATATATATATATATATATATATATATATATAATATTCATTATTTTTATTATCCTAATATAATCTAATAAGTAGATCTCGTCCTGTAAAATATTATTTTTAATCTAGGCTGGTGGTATTTATGTAAAAAATAAATTATACTAAAAATATTAAATACTTATAAAATAAGCATGCATTTGTTTACATGAAGAACAACAAAAATATGCAATTATTAGTAAGCATTAAACGGAACAGATACAATTGAAGTTTTGTGTTTTAGTTTTATTCAATTAATTCAGACTAAAAATGATTTGGTAGAACTTAGAGATGAGCTCAACATTTTTATAACAAAAAATAATTTTTATAGCAAAAGGAAAAATATTTTATGCAGCCATTAGTAAAACTGATTCTTTGAAAAATTTATGTGGTACTGTGGCCTCCCCTAATATATCAGAGCTCTAATTAAGTGATCGCAAATTGTATTATCTGTAACTCGTTTCCAGATAATGCAATTTTTTTCTTAAGAATTAAAAATTTTGCAATTTTCTTAAGAATTAAGAAAATTTTTCAATTCTTAAGAATTGAAAAAATTTTTAATTCTTATGAAATTTCTTAAGCATTAAAAATTTTCTAATTCTTAAAAAAGAAGTTTTATTTCACTTCCTAATAAGTTTTTATTAAATTCTTTTTTTCATCTGCAGCTTAATAGGACCCTAATCCGCATAAATAATTTTTAAGAAATTAAAAGTTCGAATGTAAAAACTTTTTAAATAGGTTACTACTATCCAAAAAATTTTTAACATTATTTATAACACAAACAACTATAACTTTATAAAACAGCAAATAAATGCTATAAATTAAAATTAAGGAGATATTGCTACCATTTAATTTTCAATTTAATTGTGAATATTGTTACAACCTACTATTGACCAAAACACAATCTTGATAAAGACTGCTACACTAAGTAATAAAAAAAAATTGATTATAGTACTAACATGAACGTGATGGGGTTCACTAGAAAATAGGAATTAGAATAAAGAAATTTATACCTCATACATAGCTAATTCTCCAAATTTCAGAAAATAATCCTTCAAATCTTGATTTGTAGCTTTATATGGTAGACCCAAAACAATAAGATCTGACAAAAAATCATTTTCAGTTCCTGTTTTTACTAATTTTGCTTCAGGTTCACGATTAGGAGATTCATCTAACTTTCTTTTTACAGAGTCTAAATTGAAAATGAAGTTACTTACATCATGGTATAAAAAACTTATTAACAGATTATATATATTTATATATATTTTCTTGCAAACATTTTCTTTTTGCAAACATTTTCTTTTTGCAAACATTTTCTGCATTTTGTATGTTTAAATTAGTTTAATTAAGTCTCAAAAAATTCATTGAAATTTAAATCACTAATTGATCAAGCTTTCTAGTGTCCAGGAGTTTCAAAAAACATTGAGACTGAGAGAAAACATTGGAGAAAAAAAATACAGGGGGGATTATTTTTTCTTAAAAGTAGTCTGTAAATATATTATGTGATATGTCTGTAAATATTTTATATGATATGTGATATCATTAAGGATCAACATATTTGATCATATTGATCAACATAATTGAACATATTTTCAGAATATATTTGAGTTAAAGCAGGTTCTGCTTTAACTCAAATATGTTCTGAAAACCAGAATGCTTATTTGGAACATTATCTTCCAAAATTATCTTCATTATCTGATATTAAAACTAATAACATTTAGTAACTAATATTCTTCATTTCATGAACTACTGAGTTGAATCTTTAAGTACCAAAAAAACTTTATTATATTTATTTTACAGTAATACTTTATAGTTGTAAAACAATAAAGTATTACTATAAAAACAAATTTTACCCTGGAGAGCAACATCTATTACATCTAATATTACATTTTTGTGTGATATAGTACTATATAGGTATAACAAATCATAACCTAACTAACTAAACTTTTAAGATAAAATACAGAAAACTTAAAATATATATATATATAAAACTTAAAATATATATATATATATATATATATATATATATATATATATATATATATATATATATATATATATATATATATATATATATAGATATATATATATATAGATATATATATATATAGATATATATATATATATATATATCTATCTATATATATATATATATATGTATATATTATATTATGTATATATATATATCAGGCTTGGTCGGAAAGCGGGAGCGATCGATCTTGAATACTGACCACGGAAATTATATTTAGTTGTGAAAAACTGGCCAGGTTTTTTAGTCGTTTTGAGAACATTTAAGTTTATGCACAAAACAAAAAAATTTTGTTTTACGGACATATATGGAAACATAAAAAACTTAAATGTTCTCAAAACATCTTGGTGCGAAAGAATAAAAAGAATATTTGCAAACTCTAAAAACCCGCCAAATAAGGAACAAACTAATTCTATTGGTTCAAAAAATACACTGACTAACCGAAATAAAGTTCTAGAGTACTTTGTTGAAATGTTTTAGAAATCGTATTATTCACGATTTGTTACGTTTTGAGTATTCTAGACGAGATATTTTGAATATTCTAGCCTGTTATAAGAATATATTGTCAATTCTATGGCTCATTCTCGTAGCCACATGTCCAAAGCCGTAAAAAAAAAAATCCGGAATATATTTCCCTTATATTTCTCTTAATTTTGCTTTTAGCTGAGTTGTTTTTAACTTTACTTGATTTTAGCATGAATAATGAGTGAAAAAGCTTAAAAAAACAAATATATTAGAAAAATATATACCTTAACTTTTATGTATGGAAAACATTTTTGATATCCGGAAAAGCTAAAAACTGAGAAAAATATCCGGAATTCCGGAAATATCTGGAAAAAGATAATCCCTGTATTAAAGGGATCCCTAAGTGCTATAAAGATATGATCTCATATAAAAAAGCATTAAAAAAAAATGTTTGATGTATATTATTTTTTCTAAAACGTAATAATGAACACACACTAACAAATTTAATTTTCAAAAAAACGCTTTTCTTCGATTAAAAAAAAATGCGTCTTGTCCAAAGTTTATTGACTCTATTGCCTCAAAAAACTAACGTTTGTACATCAAATTAAACAAAGTAGACAAAATGTCATTATTGCAAACTTATTAGTTGGTAATTAAATTTAAACACATAATTACTTACAAGAATAAGTTTTGTAGCATTTTGTGAAAATATATTTGTATATTAAAATTTTTTTTATAATTTTAATTTATATATTTGTGTTATAAGGGCAATTCCACAGCTAAAAATGAATAGAAGTCAAATTTTAAACTCTTTTTTGTCAGTTAAAAACAAATGAATATTGACTTAGACACATGAAAGTTTATTTAAAATATTTCTTTAGTAGAAAAATAAATTTACTTCAGTAATTTTTATGGTTTCAAAAGTGACGGTTTACTCTCATTTTTGCTTGATGAAAAAAATAATTATTGTAAAATGTTTTAGTTAAATTAAAATTTATGTTAAATTGCTATATTTTTTTGGTTCAAATTGATAAGGTTGAATAGACATTTTATTAGAAATTAAACTAAGACAGGGCTCGAATTAACGCAAAAAAATCTAATCGCCAAGAAAAATTTTTTTTTTTGCTCTCTCTCCCCCCCCCCCCCTCTCTCTCTAATAACTCGCTCTTTTAATTTATTGACGATAATTAAAAAATTATCGTCAATAAATCAAAAAACATTGTCAAAAACTTAATAAAAAACTAGATACCACGTTTTTTATAATTTATTGTTTCTTGAATAAAGGACTAATAAAAATTTAAATATAATTAAGTTTTTCATTTAAATGGTTGATGTTTTTATTCAATTTTTCTATTTCAAGTTTTCCAATAAAAGATGAAACAAAAAAAATTTGGTTTAATAAATCGAATTATACTTCATGTTTAAAATAAGGCTTAAAAAGCTTAAAGTAAAAAAATTGCTGGTTTTTATTAGCATTTTTATACTGTTTGAAAAAAAAACTAATAAAAAAGAATCAACTAATAATATATTAATTAATAATTATTAGAATTAATAATAATATCAATTAATTCTTTTTTATTAGTTTTTTACAGTATAAAAATGCAAATAAAAGTCAGTAATTTTTTTGCTCTAACGTTTTTAAGCCTTATTTTAAACATGAAGTTTTGATAAACAAAGATAAAAACCAACTTTTCAACTTTTCGCTTTAACGATCTTGTAAAGATTTTCCATGCAGAGATTAAAAGTAATTTAAAAATGTTTTACGTTGAAAGAAAAATGTTTCATTTCTTGAAATTCAAAAATGTTTTACGTTAAAAGAAAATCTCCGCGCGAAAGAGCAAATCATCTATTCATCAATCTATTCAGAATAATAAATTTTGTGTGACGTTCTTTATAATAAAAACATTACTTTTAAGAATTGCTAAAAAAAATGCTAAGCTAGAAAAAAAGTAATTAATCAACCAAAAAAAAAACAAGTCTCGAAAAGATTTTTTTTAAGAAAAAGCTAATCACAAAAGTGTGTGTACCAATCGCGATCGCAATACGCTTAATACGAGCCCTGTAAGACTTTTTTATAAGTTCTAAACTATTCAAAACTATTACTTAATAACTTTTTTTTAACGACGTCTTTCAACCGAATGCTATTATACTGTTTTTGCAAAACTAATTAAAAAAACTTGATTAAAACTTAACTATTTAATCACGACTTTTTTTTACTTGAAAATCGAAGTAGATATTCTAAAGTTGTTGTGACGTACTAACGTGATTTTTAACGACTAACAATCGAGTTTCAACGGTGAAAAAATAAAATCAAAATGGAGTTGTTTTTTAGTGATTTCGGCAATTGCTTTTTGTTAGCATGCATTTATTATTACAATTTAGTGAAAAAGAAAAAAAACTTACAAATTTTTTTTTATGCTTTTTCATGAGATCATATGTTAGGAGCACTTAGGGATCCCTTTAATAATCATTAAAGTTAATAAAACTAATTATGTAACAAACATATAAGAAGTTTCTGGTTACTAAACACAAACAATGCATACAAAGTAACTCCCAGATGAACCGCGCCTGAGGTCACGACAGAACAGGAATATATATAGCAAGTTATTAGATATAAAGAAAAGTCTCTAGATATTGGTTTACTAAATCAAATTATTTTTGCTTAAGTTGCCATTCTTAAAAACTTGCTATACTTTTTTCTGCTTTAAGTACTAATTAAAATTAAAAAGCCCACTCACTAAACATCATCAGCAATATCGTGAAGCTTTTTCGCTTCTTTGTCATAAAGTATTTTTAACTTTTTTTAAGTTAATTTCTATCTAGTTAATTTAATTTCTATAGTAATTCAATGATTTAATTATTTCATTTGTTTATATTAATAAGAAGAATTGTTTCAAATATGTTTAACTTTTCAAACTATGCGAAACATAAAAAAGGTATTAAAAAAATTAACTTTTTTATTTATAAAATAATTTAGTTTAGATAAAACTATAACTTGCAAACTTTGATAAATTTGTTTTGATAAATTTGTTTTGAAAATTTGTTTCCTTATTAAACAATCATAAAATGTTACTTTATATAAAAAACGTGGCTTAATTTTATAAAAAAATTATAAAAGAGCGATGTTTCGAAATTATTTGCTTTAAAAGTAATTTATTTTGTCCTAAGTTTTTTCGCGTTAAAAGATATTTCATGTCCTAATTTTTTTTTTTTGTAATTGTCTCTCATTGGTCTAATTAATCTTTTGCATATTTTTTTGTTGCTTTTTGAAATATTCTTAAAAAGACTAAAATATGTGGCCAGCTTTTCTCAACTAAATATTATTTCTGTGGTCAGCAATCAAGAGCGATCGCTCCGGCTTCCCGACCAAGCCTGATATAAATATATATATATATATATATATATATATATATATATATATATATATATATATATATATATATATATATATACATCAACCCTCAGAATTTGGAAAATAAAGGTCGGCAATAATTTGCCGACCTCAATCTTTTAGAGTTCGGCATCAGGTCGGCAAATACAAAGGTCTTACCATGAAACATTAGAACGAGGTCAGAAAAACCAAATTTTTTTTGCCAACCACAAATATGCTTAGGTCGGCAGTTAGGTCGACCTAAGCATATTTGTAGTATCTGATTCTAGATAGTTAGCTATCTAGAATCAGATACCTAGCTATCTAG